GTTACCACACCTTGCTTCGGAATTTCGACATAAGTGCACGATTTCACTGACTGTCTGGTTAGTTGTCTGTCGAAAACGTAATGCGTATCACAGCAAGCTTAAGACTATGCTAAAATTATGCCCTCTCCAGGCCGTCCCTCGCCCGGTTTAGAATAATCAGAAATTGTCTATAATTCATCAGTATATCGAACTGTTGCGTTTCGCTGGAGCTGAATATTACGCGCTGGGCTTTTCTGCGTACGATGCGATTTGTTTGAATCTGCTGAGTCTGTTCTCATTCTCTGAGAATCCTGTTTGCAGAAAGTAAATGGCATAACGAAAACTTTCCGCACTCTCTGCAGGGAATTTCCTTCAAGCTGGGTATATAAATGCAACAGAAATGTAGAGAAGTGACAGCAGATTATTAAACGCTGTTTATGCAACGCATATGCATAATCAGGTAAATTGCTGTATAGACAGGAGGTCTAGGGGACACCATGCAGATGGATAACTGATCTCTGCAGAGTGACAGGCAGTTGTTGCAACCAGATTTTCCTCGAAAGACAGTGGTATAGTTTTCATGCTGGTGAGCGCTTAATTCTTTTCACTTCGTCTGTGGGCAGCTTCAGCATTTCACGAGCCTTCGCTTCTGCTGGCAAATGTTTTGGAAGGGTATTCGTGTCCTTCTCACGTTTTCCATGATTAGATTTACTGGTCGCCGGTGGCATATTTCGTTAAGCGATTAGATGACTGTTTCGTCTTAGTGATAGACCTTCATGGCTACCGAAGCGACTAGAAAAATAATCCACCCACCCAGCGTTTATGAAAGTAGTCCAGCTCCATAACCATGCAGAAAAACAAAACCCATAGTTTCTGAATGTGTAGGAAAGAGTCTTCCGCTCTCATTCAAAACCGTTTTAGGATCCGCAGCTTTAGGATCAGATGTATTGCTCGCTACTCACATGCGGTTCATATGTTTGTGCAACTGTCTCGGCATCCGTGTATGGTTGCATCCGTCTCAGTGCCAGTAAACAATATCGTATATTTATGACCTTTAAATAATCAAGCTATAAGCCTGATTCTGATCAATATTGATCAGATAATCAAACATTACAGTTGGTTCCACATCTTTCTTTATCATAACCGTTGCGACAGATTCAAAGCTGCTCGTTTTAAACAGCGGCACACTCTCACTCCAATCATGAGTCTTCAACTTCGAGGTTAAAGCT